CTCTGCACATTTACACACTAGCCCTTAACCAAATTGGACCACCTTGGAGCTGAGGTCCCTTGGAGCCTATTTTGAGCTGTTGGAAAGTCGATGAGCCTAAGAGAAGGCATGTTTTGTGCTATGCTTCAAGAGGTATATTACTTACCTTGTAGGCTTAGTTTTAATCACTTGCTTGGTTATCTTTTCATACTATTTTGGGCCTAGTTTTTAACTACAAAAAGCTCTAATTTTTGGGCCTTAACATGTTGGTTTGAAGTCATTTTGTGCTAAGGGGTTGTCCACCCTTCTTGTTGCTTATTTGTATGAGCCTTTGCACCATCTTTTAGCATGTTAAAATCAAACCATTTGGGCCTTTAAACCACTGAAATTCAGAGTTATTTCAGTGGTGGAAAGCATGTTTTGAAATCCAAAAATGGAGGGGTTGGCCTCCCTTCCTTGTGTCTCGCTTGCATACTCAGTTAGCATCCTATGGTAGCATGTTTTTATGGTTTAACTTAGCTTAATTCAAGCATGTTTTAGCTACTGTTTTGACTGGTTTTAGCTTTGTTTTGGGCTGTCTTGGTCATATGAGCCTTGTTTTGCATAGTTGTAGTGCAAATAGCTTCACTAGCTTGGCATTTTAGGCCTCTAAACATGTTTTGCTTGGAATGATTGCATGTTGTAGTGTCTTCTAACATGTAATTTCAGTGTATATAGCTCTGTCACATGGTCATTTGTTTCACTCTTTCATTGCTTTTGAGGGTTGTGTCTTGAGTCTTGTTTGCAAGCTAACATGTGAGCATATTTTTCTAACATGTTGTTTGTGACGCCCCAAATTTTTTTGAAACGTCATAAGATTTAAATAATGATAACTTGCTAGATAAAGTTTTAACTACTAATTAGGAACTTTTAAGTTCATACATAGTCAAAGTCCAACAACAAAAAAAAAACTACAAGTTCACACACAACGTCACAACATAGTTAAATCCTAATACAAGGGATAACAGGACTTTATTTTGATAAAATCTTGACTCTAAGTCAGCCAAGGTTCGATATTGGCAGCAGCTCCAATTTCAGCCTCAGTCCCTTCTTTGACATAATCTGGCATGAAACGCCAGGGCAACAAAATATATGCCATGAGTTTTGCAACACAGTAAGAAAACGTAGCCAACCTACCATTCTTTTTAAGAGAAAAATAATAAGATTCTAAACATGAGATAACAATATAATTGTACACATAAATTACAACCATTAGAATAATTTCGTAATTTTAATAAATTAGGTGACACTTGAAATCTCACCAAAGAGATTTAACTTACCAACCACTAAGCATGGCAACGGTTAATTTGAAACCCTCCCTTGGTCAAATATTTAAGTGTTACCAATCGTAACTACCAGGGATGCTCACGTCCGGAGTTATATACCCAAGTAGTGGCATCCATGGTCTGCCCCAAGGAAACGGTCTACCAGGGGTAAGTAACCTCCCTGTGTGCCACCTGCACATCCACCCTTATTCCAAAACCGAATACCGAAAAAGGGCTCAAATAAGTCCCGTGCCATCTTAGAGTTTCGCAACACAATTTACGTGAGAATTCTCAAAACCAAGGCTCACCCTAAACAACCGGTATTGACTGTCAACCCTTAATTTCGTACACTCTTTAAAACCAATACTCACCCTAAACAACTGGTATTAACTGTCAATTGTTAACTTTATATATACCATTATTCATTTAGATTAATTCATAGATCAAACCCATAATCTACAAATTTATCATGAAACTAGACTTCTCAAGTCTCATCTTTTGCTTAGAAATTACCATATTTGGCTTAGTATAGGATTTTGAATAAATTTTCGAATACATAGTAAAATCTATCTCACAGTTTTAGATTTAGTTAAAAATTTGTATAAATTAGTAGGAAGCTCAAAATTTGTTGCCAAAAATTTCTGGATAAACTAGACATCATTATCAACATCTTTGTAGAAGAAATCATCTCGAAATTTTGAGTATAAGATTATCTAAAAATTCGGGTAAACATGCTGACAGATTCAAAACAGATTATTCTCAACACAGTTTCAGATTTAGTTAAAAATTTGTATAAATTCGTAGAAAGCTCAAAAATTGTTTCCAAAAATGGATAAACTAGACATCATTATCAACAACTTTATAGAAGAAATCATCTCAAAATTTTGAGTATAAAATTATCTAAAAATTCGGGTAACATGCTGGCAGATTCAAAACAGATTATTCTCAACACAGTTTCAAATTTAGTTAAAAATTCGTATAAATTCGTAGAAAGGTCGAAAATTGTTACCAAAATTCCTGGATGAACTAGAAATCATTATCAACAAATTTTTAGAAGAAATCATCTCGAAATTTTGAGTATAAAATTTTCTAAAAATTCAGGCAAACATGCTGGCAGATTCAAAATAGATTACCTTCAACAGAATTTCAGATTTTTGTTAAAAATTTGTATAAATTCGTAGAAAGCTCAAAATTTGTTACCAAAATTCCTGGATGAACTAGACATCATTATCAACAACTTTGTAGAAGAAATCATCTCGAAATTTTGAGTATAAAATTGGCTAAAAATTCAGGCAAACATGCTGGCAGATTCAACACAGATTATTTTCAATACAGTTTAGACAATGTATCATATGTATACAATCTAAAAATTTCCATTATGTAAAAAAAAATGAGAGGATTGAGAAGGTTTTCTTACTTAGTTGTAGGGTTGAAATGGAATAATGAAATGGTAGGAAAAATATGCGACCTCAACCTCCTCCTCTTCTTCCACAAGAATTCCCTCTATTTGGATGTATATGGTTTATGCTTAGTCTAGAAATTATGAACTTTCTGTGCATGCTACTAGGTGCATTATATAGACTCTCTCCGTGGCAAGCTCTCTCTCTCTCTCCCTCTCTCATACATTCTTTTCATTAATAAAACCATTCCCTTTCCCCAAGTTCTAAGAATTAGGCTTTCTCTAATTTCTTTGTTCACTTTCTCCAAATTCTATGGCTTTCCCTAAATCCTAAGAAAGATAATGGTTTATGGTTCCCATATCACCATGCAAACAGCCACGATTTTTTTTTATAACAATAATTATTGAACATCCATAACATTTTTATTTTTAATAATGTCTCTGTTAGTGATAGAATTGGGTTAATTTAAAACTAATTTTTTTTTGTACTATTATATATTTTAGGTAGATTTTGAATACAATTAATTAATTAATTAATTAATTTTCTTTTAAGAATAATTTAAAGATGGGTTTTCACAATCTACCCTCCTAAAAAAGAATTTCGCCCTCGAAATTAATTCGTACCTTTAGATTCGAAAAGTTGAGGGTAATTGACACGTATCAAATCTTCTCGCTCCCACGTTGACTCTTTCGTCCCAGAATGTCTCCAGAGAACTCGAACCAATGGTATAGTTTTACCTCGTAATTTCTTCTCGCGACGATCTGAAATCTTGACAGGCTTTTCTTCAAATGTCACGTCTTTATCAAGATTAATTTCCTTCCAATTGATGATGTGAGAAGGGTGTGGCTCGTATTTCCGTAGCATAGAGACGTGGAAAACATTATGTACTCCAGCCAGTTGAGGCGGTAGAGCCAAACGGTACGCCACTTCTCCTATTTTGTCCAAAATTTTGAAAGGCCCTATGAAGCGAGGTGACAACTTTCCCTTCTTTCCGAAACGAGCAACTCCTCGGCGAGGCTGTATTTTCAGAAACACATGATCTCCAACTTTAAATGCTAAAGGTCTTCTCCTTTGATCTGCATAGCTTTTCTGCCTACTCTGAGCGGTCTCAAGCCTTTGCCTAATTAGTTTCACCTTCTTGGTAGTTTCTTGAACTAACTCTGGCCCTAAAAGAGGTGCTTCTCCGACTTCTGTCCAACATATTGGTGATCGGCAAGGCCGTTCGTACAAAGCTTCATACGGTGCCATACCAATACTTGCTTGAAAACTGTTATTGTAAGAGAATTCGACTAATGGTAAATATTTCTCCCAACTACCTTTAAAGTCCATCACACAAGCTTGAAGCATGTCTTCTAAAGTCTAAATTGTTCTTTCTGATTGACCGTCAGTTTGAGGGTGAAAAGCTGTACTAAAACACAACTCTATACCAAGGCCTTTTGCAGACTTTGCCAGAACTCTGACGTAAAACGAGAATCGCGATCTGACACTATTGAGACTGGTACTCCATGCAATCTAATGATTTCTTGAATAAATAATCGGCTTAAAGATTCGAGTGTGCCTGTTGGTCCTATTGGTAGCAAATGTGCCGTCTTAGTTAATCGATCAACCACCACCCAAATGGCATCATGGCCTTGCAGCGACCGGGGTAATCTCGCTACAAAATCCATTGTTATGTGTTCCCATTTCCACTTAGCTATTGGTAAAGGTTGGAGTTTCCCTGCCGGCCTTTGATGTTCTGCCTTCACTTGCTGACACGTCAAGCACTTAGATACGAATTGAGCAACGTCCTTCTTCATTCCACTCTACCAATACTGTCGCTTAAGATCCTGGTACATCTTGTTTCCTCCCGGATGGACCGCAAAAATTGAATAGTGAAATTCTTTAAGTACTTCGTCTCTTAATTGTTTGATGTTTGGCACAAAAATTCTACCTAAATACCTTAGACTACCATCTTGATGGAGCGTCCAACCCGGTGAAGATTCCTTGGACACTAATCGGGCCTTGATGGAGTCAATCTCCTGATCAAATCTTTGGGTTTCCAACACTTTGGTAAGAAGTTGTGGTGTTGTAACTATTGTAAACAACCTACCCTTCCCATTCTGAGTCTCTGGTTGTAACTTAAACCCATTCACAGTGCTTACCATTTCCCATTCTTTAATTGATATGTTGGCTACAATCTCCCTCGTCTTTCGACTTAGTGCATCTGCTACAACATTAGCCTTTCTGGGATGATAAGACAAGGTAAATTGGTAATCTTCAAGGTACTCCATCCAGTGTCTTTGCCTCATGTTCAAATCTCTTTGTGTGAACAAGTATTTCAAGCTTTTGTGATCTGTAAATATCTCAAATTTTTCGCCATAAAGGTAATGTCGCCAAGTCTTAAGTGTATGACCACAGCTGCCAACTCCAGATCGTGAGTAGGATAATTTTTCTCATGATTCTTCAATTGTCTTGATCCGTAAGCCACCACCTTCCCGTTTTGCATTAACACACTGCCTAACCCTTCTTTAGAGGCATCACAGTAAACAGTGTACCCAACGTCGTGTTCGGGTATGATTAATATGGGAGCGCTTGTCAGTCTCTTCTTGAGTTCTTGAAATGACTGCTCACACGCTTCGTTCCATTCAAACTTTACTCCTTTTTGCGTTAGGCGTGTCATCGGCTTGGCTAATTTGGAGAAATCCTAAATGAATCTCCTATAATAACCTGCTAATCCCAAGAAACTACGAATTTCAAACGTATTCTTAGGTTGTTTCCACCCCATTACTGCTTCTACTTTAGCAGGATCCACTGATATCCCTGATTCAGACACAACATGACCTAAGAACTTTACTTCCTTCAGCCAAAATTCACATTTGCTAGCTTTAGCATACAATTGGCTTTCTCTTAGAATTTGCAAAACGGTTCTCAGATGTTGCTCATGGTCTTCCTCTGATCGTGAGTATATCAAAATATCGTCAATGAATACTACCACAAATTGGTCCAAATAGGGGGTAAAAATTTTGTTCATTAAACTCATGAATACCCCAGGCGCATTCGTCAAACCAAATGGCATTACCATAAACTCGTAGTGGCCATAACGGGTTCGAAGCGCAGTTTTGGGTATATCTTCTCCTCTGACACGAAGTTGGTGATATCCCGACTTAAGGTCAATTTTGGAAAAACATTTTGAACCTCTTAATTGATCGAACAAGTCATCAATTCTGGGTAAAGGATATTGATTTTTAATGGTGGCTCAATTTAGTTGTTGATAATCGATGCACAATCTTAAGGTTCCATCCTTCTTCTTCGCGAATAATGTTGGCGCTCCCCAAGGAGACATACTTGGTCTGATGAACCTTTTATTCAAGAGATCTTGCAACTGCTCCTTCAATTCTCGAAGTTCAGCTAGCGCCATACGATGTGGTGCTATTGAAATCAGCGAAGTCCCAGGTTGAAGCTCAATCGTGAAATTTACGTCTCGTTTTGGGGGTAATCCCGATAATTCATCAGGGAAAACATCAACGTATTCGCACACCACATGGGGTAATCCTGGATCCTCTCGATTTTTGTCTTCCAAAATTAGGCTCGCCAACCATCCAGTTAGTTGATCATGCCATCGCGACTTGCGACACGTTGGAGTTAGAGAATCTTGTCTATCCACTTTAAATTGAACTTTCATGCCGTTAAGGGAGGATGCTGTCACTGTCTTACAGTAACAATCAATAATGGCTCGATGAACTGACAACCAGTCCATTCCTAGGATGACGTCAAAATCAGACATATCCATAAGTCTTAGATCACAGATCAAATGTGAACCGGAGATTTGTAGCTCGCAAGATTTACATACTAGATTTACTTGGGTTTGAGCTCCTAAGGGTGAAGCGATACTCATAGCTATCCCTAGTATCTCTGGCTCTAGACCTAAACTTGTCACACATGCAGTGGATATAAAAGAATATGAAGCTCCAGAATCAAATAATACTTTAACCCAAGAATTCATAAGGATTAACATACCTTGAATTATTGATGGGTTATCAACATCTTCTTCTTCTTGGAGAGCATACATTCTCCCTACTGCCTGTTGGTTAGTCTCTCCTGGTTTCTTCCCATTTCCAGCTCCTTGTGGTTGTGTTCTTGGTCGGCTGGCATTCCTAGAGGCTTGTGGCTGCCCCTTGTTGGTCTGAGTATTTTGAGTAGGCTTAGAACCTTACCCAGGTTGGCATTTTTTGTATTGTTGTGCCCCTTGCTGATCCATAAAATACTCCCCACCTTGAGGACACTCACTTCGACGATGCCCCTGCTGACCACATCTGAAACATCTTTCTTTCCACTCATTTGCAAAGTTTCCTCCTTGCTGGTTTCCTCGATTCTGCCTTTGTTGCTGCTGCACCCCTCCGGCATAAGGTGCTGGTGCAGGATGGTTTTTGGTGTTGCGGATTGGACCTCCTCCGCGTGGTTGGTTGTTGTTCCTTGATCGTTGATTTCGAGTGCGCTCAAAATCTGCTAACTCTCGTTCCACAATTAAAGCTCGATCCACCATTTGAGCATAGGTGGAGAGTTGCACTGCGATCAATCTTCCTCTAATGTCTGTGTCCAAACCCTATTCAAATCGCTTAACCTTATCCTCTTCATTTGCTACTATGGCTGAAGCATACCGTGAGAGAGCTTCAAAACGGTTCGCATATTGAGCGACTGACATTTTTCGTTGTTTCAGTTGGAGGAACTCTTGAATCATTTCTTGCCTTAGTGAGTTAGGAAAATACTTTTCCATGAACAGATCTTTGAACTGTCTCCAAGTTAATGTCTCTGCTTGTCGAGTACTCTTGATCATTTCCCACCAATGATCTGCTTCCCCTTCCATTTGAAATGCCGCCATGGTCACTCTATCTTGTTCATTTTGGATGCCTGAAGTATCTAGCAACTTCTTAATTCGTCTTAACCAAGCTTCAGTTTCATGGGGGTTTGGTCCACCAAGGAATTTGTGGGGATGTAGCTTTTCAAATTTTGCTATCATTTCCGATTTTCTTTGATATTGGTTTCGGGGTGGTATATTGCCTACCCTATCAGCAATCGCGCGCATAATTCGAGCGACATCGCCATCAAACACTCCATCACCATCACCGTTGTTATCGTTTCTTGCTCGTCCAGCCATTCTGCATGATGGGATTTTTTTTTTTAGTAATTCGTGATTTGTTCATTTATTTATTATCATTTATTATTATATTTATGTGCAAGAATAGTTTTTTTTTTTTTTTTAAAAAAACTTCATTAAATAGATTAGATAAGCTACAATTGGTAGAATACAAATAAAACAAGGAAAAGATTGAATAACACACTACGGGCAAAAGATAGCTCCTACAATCCAAGTTAACTCCTACACTCACAATTCTAAACTAGGCAATTTTTACATGTGAGCATACAAAACAATCGGTTAGCCTAGTTTATAGTCCCCTTAAGACCCCTTAAAATAGCCAAGGAAAGTCTCTCCACACCAGGGCTTTCGGCTCCCATGTGGCTTGGAAAAGTCCCATGAATCGCCACAGCACCCTCACGAAGACAGCAATTTCACACACACGATGCCCTAGTAGCAGCACTGGCTCCTCCCGATAGATCCTCCAATCCCTGAAGTCCACTGACCCATCTCTCCTCACAATTCTGCTTGGGTCGGGCATGATATGCTGAAGGCTCCAAAAGTCAAAAAGGTCGCCCACCCTTTCGGTGAAACCATTTGGAAAGGGGCCTAGTTGATATACAGAGGGAGTCTTTTGTCTTAGAATCTGGACAGACCCGATATAGGTACCCACCCAACTCTCAGTTTTCCAAGCACAACCTCCTAGGGAATAAAGTCTGACATATACAAAAGAGCCAATCTGCAACCCGTTTCACACATCCCAACCCTCAAACGTGGCTCCTATATCTCCAGTGTTTTCCTCTTTATTTCCTTCCATAGACTCATCTTCAGTGTCTGACTCAATCACAATAACCTCCGGGGGGTTGTATATTGGTGAAACTTCTTCAACTTCTTCAGACTCAGGTTCAGGCTCAAGTTCAGGATCAGGTTCAGGGTCAAGCTCAGGCTCAGATTCATAGTATTCTGTAGGCATCTCCACTTCTTCACTTGGGTCAGATTCTATGGATTCATGGTCTTCTATAGGCATCTCCACTTCTTCACTTGGGTCAGATTCTATGTCATAGTTTTCCACCGACTTTTCCTCGTTAGAATTAATGTCTGATGACCCTGGCATCCTACAAATAAAAAAGGTTCTAACTTAGTTAAGTCACCGAGAATTACAAATTAACTTAAGGTTTTTTTAATTATAAAAATAATAAACAACTACCCATGGCCCAAAGGTTCAAACCTAGGCTCTGATACCAAGCTGGGACGCCCCAAATTTTTTTGAAACGCCATAAGATTTAAATAACGATAACTTGCTAGATGAAGTTTTAACTACTAATTAGGAACTTTTAAGTTCTTACATAGTCAAAGTCCAACAACAAAATAAAACTACAAGCTCACACACAACGTCACAACATAGTTAAATCCTAATACAAGGGATAACAGGATTTTATTTTGATAAAATCTTGACTCTAAGTCAGCCAAGGTTCGATATTGGCAGCAGCTCCAATTTCAGCCTCAGTCCCTTCTTCGACATAATCTGGCATGAAACGCCAGGGCAACAAAATATATGCCATGAGTTTTGCAACACAGTAAGAAAACGTAACCAATCAACCATTCTTTTTAAAAGAAAAATAATAAGATTCTAAACATGAGATAACAATACAATTGTACACATAAATTACAACCATTAGAATAATTTCAGTAATTTTAATAAATTAGGTGACACTCGAAATCTCACCAAAGAGATTTAACTTACCAACCACTAAGCATGGCAACGGTTAATTTGAAACCCTCACTTGGTCAAATATTTAAGTGTTACCAATCGTAACAACCAGGGATGCTCACGTCCAGAGTTATATACCCAAGTAGTGGCATCCGTGGTCTGCCCCATGGAAACGGTCTGCCAGGGGTAAGTAACCTCCCTGTGTGCCACCTGCACATCCACCCTTATTCCGAAACCGGATACCGAAAAGGGTTCAAATAAGTCCCGTGCCATCTTAGAGTTTCGCAACACAATTTACGTGAGAATTCTCAAAACCAGGGCTCAGCCTGAACAACCAGTATTGACCGTCAACCCTTAATTTCGTACACTCTTTAAAACCAATACTCACCCTAAACAACTGGTATTAACCGTCAATTGTTAACTTTATATATACCATTATTCATTTAGATTAATTCATAGATCAAACCCATAATCTAAAAATTTATCAGGAAACTAGACTTCTCAAGTCTCATCTTTTAGTTAGAAATTACCATATTTGGCTTAGTATAGGATTTTGAATAAATTTTCGAATACATAGTAAAATCTGTCTCACAGTTTCAGATTTAGTTAAAAATTTGTATAAATTCGTAGGAAGCTCAAACTTTGTTGCCAAAAATTTCTGGATAAACTAGACATCATTATCAATATCTTTGTAAAAGAAATCATCTCGAAATTTTGAGTATAAAATTATCTAAAAATTCGGGTAAATATGCTGACAGATTCAAAACAGATTATTCTCAACACAATTTCAGATTTAGTTAAAAATTTGTATAAATTCGTAGAAAGCTCAAAAATTGTTTCCAAATATTTTTGGATAAACTAGACATCATTATCAACAACTTTGTAGAAGAAATCATCTTGAAATTTTGAGTATAAAATTTTCTAAAAATTCGGGTAATATGCTGGCAGATTCAAAACAGATTATTCCCAACACAGTTTCAGATTTAGTTAAAAATTCGTATAAATTTGTGGAAACTTGAAAATTGTTACCAAAATTCCTGGATGAACTAGAAATCATTAACAACAACTTTGTAGAAGAAATCTTCTCGAAATTTTGAGTATAAAATTGTCTAAAAATTTAGGCAAACATGTTGGCAGATTCAAAATAGATTACCTTCAACACAATTTCAGATTTTTGTTAAAAATTTGTATAAATTCATAGAAAGCTCAACAATTGTTACCAAAATTTTTAGATGAACTAGACATCATTATCAACAACTTTGTAGAAGAAATCATCTCGAAATTTTGAGTATAAAATTGTCTAAAAATTCAGGCAAACATTCTAGCAGATTCAACATAGATTATTTTCAACACAGTTTAGACAACGTATCATATGTATACAATCTGAAAATTTCAATTATGTAAAAAAAAAAAATGAGAGGATTGAGAGGGTTTTCTTACTTAGTTGTAGGGTTGAAATGAAATAATGAAATGGTAGGAAAAATATGCAACCTCAACCTCCTCATCTTCTTCCACAAGAATTCCCTCTATTTGGATGTATATGGTTTATGCTTAGCCCGGAAATTATGAACTTTCTGTGCATGCTACTAGGTGCATTATATAGACTCTCTCCGCGGCTAGCTCTCTCTCTCTCTCCCTCTCTCTCTCACATTCTTTTCATTAATAAAACCATTCCCTTTCTCCAAGTTCTAAGAATTAGGCTTTCTCTAATTTCTTTGCTCACTTTCTCCAAATTCTATGGCTTTCCCTAAATCCTAAGAAAGATAATGGTTTATGGTTCCCATATCACCATGCAAACAACCACAATTTTTTTTTTTTATAACAATAATTATTGAACATCCATAACATTTTTATTCTTAATAAGGTCTTTGTTAGTGATAGAATTTGGTTAATTTAAAACTATTTTTTTGTACTATTATATATTTTAGGTAGATTCTGAATACAATTAATTAATTTATTTATTTATTTTCTTTTAAGAATAATTTAAGGATTTTTTTTCACCTTGTACCTCAATCTCAGCATGGTTTAGTCATTACTTTGACTAGTTTTAACTCTGTTTTGAGTTGGTTTGGCCCTTCAAGGCTTGTATTGCATGGCTATAGTGTAATGGTCTTCACTAGCTTAATGAGTTAGGCTCTTAAAGATGACTTGCATGTGTTGCTTGCATGATTTGATCTCATTTTACATGCCATGTCAGCATTGAAATATCTGCAACCTCACTTTA